GAGAGAGAAAGAGAGAGAGAGAGGTCTTCAACTTATCATTGGTCTTTGTAAATCTATTAATCTAGTAAAACACATGTCGATATGCTATATGCCAATTGAAAAAGTCTGACTGTCCGGTAGTTTTTGTAAATGGCTATAATTTCAATACCATGTTATAATTTTCAGATAATGGACAAAAACACAAAGCCTCCCGATTCTGCTGTTGACGCAAACCAAACTGATGGAAATGCAGATGAAACACCCAGCACAGCGGAATCTGACAAATCAAACCTCGACAAGCAAGAAAGTGAAAGCTCACAGTTAGAAGGTGAAAACCCCGCATTCCAAGAAATCGATGATAAAGTGAGAATGATAATGCCTTCAGGTGCCTATCAGATATATGAAGCCAAGTTAGCCAGTCTTTTACGGAAGAATGGCATTCTGGAAGGGCAGCTGGCGTCTGCATTATCTGCCCGTGAATCAGCAGAAAAAAACTTGTCGTCTGCTGTTAAAAGAAGACAGGAAATGGAGCAGAAATTGGGGGACAGCTTGAAGGAAATAGAGTTGCTCAAAGAGAAGCTGACAAGTGTTGAGCTGGCACAGGAGGAGGCCAATAGCCTCTCGAATATCGTCCACTCGGACAATGTGAGGCTCGAGCATGACGTGGCTTTCCTCAAGGCTGTTCTTGACGACACGCAAAAGGTCGTGGACTCTCTCCATCCCTTCTTTATGCTGTGATTTTTTTATCAAAGTAACTTTTATTTTTTTGTTTTTTTTTCTTTCTCAGTTAATTTAATGTTGAATGGTGTCTATTTTTGCAGGAGCTTCATTCGACCAGGGGAGTCCTGGCCGGTGAGCGTGCACGGGCATTCCAATTACAGGTATATTCGTTTCTAGTTATCAGTAGGTGAAAAAAAAAAATTAATGGCTTCATAAATATGGATAGCTGCAAAAAACTGCCATCGTTGAGGTTTGGGATAATTTCCGAACCAATGCGGTTACAGGTTATGTTTTGAAGTTGCAATACCCTCTCGTGTGACTTGTTCCTATTGAAAAATATGAAATATCATTAATTGTTAGGGTGTTTGTAGAGAAACACAAACCTCGAGGGGGAGTACTTGTTATTTTACAAGATAATTAAATCTTTTGTAATTAGGGAAACTGCAGAGGCAGTCTTACCAATGTGTAAATATGTATAACAAGTTTCCAATATATGTTAGTTCTGTTCATATTTTTATTGTCTCCAAAAACAATAAAAATGATAGTTTTTTGCCTGCTGCAATCCGTCATATTTCTAATTTCACTTTGCTCGGTAGCTCTCTCGTTTATGTTCAACTTAACCAACATTCTCGAAATATTATTTGTTTATTCTCGTGGAGCCAATTCTTTTGAAGTTTGTCATCTTTTGAATTTCTGGATGTAATCCAATTTGCAGGTCGAAGTTTTCCATCTGAAACAGAGATTGCAGTCCTTGGAGACTCGAGCGCCAACGCCAAGGAAACCTTTCCACGTTTAGTATATAAAATCAATTTGATTTTTACCACGTTTTAGCATGCATCTATGTATATGTTTTGGGTGAACATTGTACATTTGCAAGCGGCCACAAACGAAGACAATTTAGGTGTTGTGGACTAGTGTTCAAATAACTCCATATCACAGAATAGACTACTGGCAGACATTGCATGGAAACTGTTGTTGGTATTCAATGACGCGATTAACATGACTACACAAGCAAGCAGCAAAGGCTTAAATAAAACCATTGCCATTGTCTTGCGTTCTCCTATGATTTTATTTATAGCATTGGCAGAGATTGTGATGAGAAATATGAGACAACTTTTGGTTCAAACATGTTACATTTTCATAAACCGTATATTTGTGCTGAATCAAAATATAATGCAACCATTTGGGTAATCACTAATTTTCACTTGTTTATCTTGTACACTTTGAATATCAATAATCAATTTAATAGCATCAACAAACAATTCAGTTTGTAATAATTTTATTTAAAAAAAAAAAAAATTGAAACATCTTACCGAAAATTGTAGGAAAATCTTCCTTAGAACTTCCTAAATGGAGTGCTTCAATATTAGAACCAGAGGAAGAGAGTGCGGTCCCACCAGATGAAGCGCACCATAAGAATGCGACCCTAGGTGCACTTTAGTGGGGTTTCATCCCAAAACCAATTGGTGATGGGAGGAGTAGCCCACTAGGCTTATAAACTAGGCTCATTTACCTATGAGACAACTCACAAGTGATATTCCTACACATGATGATTTTAAATTTGTCGTAATATAGATTGTCAATATGGAAGATCGATATGTATGATACATAAATAGAGAAAGTGTAGTAAATGAGGAGTAATGCTCACCTACCCACGGTGAGCACATGTTAATATGTCCACCGCTTATGTGGCATGCACACATTGGTGGTGTATTTTTTTTGAACATATTAACATCACCAATGTGTGCATGTCACATGAACGGTGGACATATTAACATGTGCCCATCGTGGTATGTGAGCATTACTCATTAAAAGAGATAGAGAATAAGAGAGAAAGATACACCACCATAAAAACCCTCATCTTACATTCACTTGAACCCTATATATAAGGGAATACAATGTACATGACTAAATACATAATGGGCACCTGACCCATACCTACAAAACCTACATTTAGGTAATGTCCACAAATTAGTATTTACAACACTCCCCCTTGGACATTACAACATCATGTCTATGTCTCGTTAAAAACCTAATTACAAAACCCAGCGGAAAGAAGTAGTCGAGGAAATAGTACATGACATATGAAAATTTATGTGTTACATTTACTGCCTCGTTAAAAACCTTACTGAGTAAAACCCAATAGGAAAAAACTTGACGAAGGGAAAAAGAGTACAACACCTGCCAACAGAGCCTAATCTTCAAGATTAAAATTGGCCTTCTAGGCTCGATCTTCGAAATTTATTTGTCGTTTCCCCTGAAGGCAAAATCTTTTCTTTCTTTTTTCTTTTTTTTTTGATAAAAAAAACTTTTGTTGCTCTTCTAGAGAAAATCTTTTCTTGTTAAATTCATTATTGTATGTTACTACCCCTCAAGGTAAGAGTTTTTGAAATAAAATCGTCATAATACTTTTGTTGCTCTTCCAGAGTTAATATAGATTCAAAAATACCATCAAATGTATTTCATAATTTATTTGTCTAACACAAACAATAATCTTTGAGATAATTATGGGGAAGCTTCAATAAAAGTGATAAAGGGTTAATACTGTTTCAGAGATATATGACCAATTGAGGACCCAGTATTTCGGGGATCAATTATACAGTTGATGTCCTTATCCATTAATATCATATATCAAGTCCAAAGATAACTCAACATACATGAAATCATAATGAGATATTCTTAATATTTATCACGATATCTCTTTAAGAAGAGAAATATTAAATCTTGCTAGCAAATCCATCGCAAATGCAGCATCAAAACTTTATTGTGAATTATGGGAGATACTTACATCGGTGTTGATCCTTCGTGGGTTATATAGCAACGTTATTGCTAACTTATAGAAGATCCTTCAGGGAGTGTATAAGAAATTCATTGGCAAATTACAAGCTATCGATATATGAAATATTGATTGGCATCTTATAAACAACCAATACTGTAGTATCTCACATCGGTTGTGAAGGAGAACGAAGCATGCCTTATAAGTGGCTGTGGATACCTTCACTAGGAAAGACGCATTTTGGTGAGTGATATAGCCACAGCTAGTACTGCCGGCTCGACCGAAAGTATCTGATATAGCATGTCATACCCGACCGATTTTTATGGATATATATTGAAGAATACGCCCATAAATGGGCTAAGACACTTGATATGATAATACGGGCCAAGCCCATTTAGGCCAAGCCCAATTTGGACTATAAGGTACACTCCCCCTATAAAAGGGGGGCTAAGGTACTCATTTCCTACATCCTCTACTCATTCCCTTACTACACTTCCCCTCTCTACACACTCTTTCTCTATATGCCCTCTCATATGGATCCTGTACTAACTTAAGCATCGGAGGCCCAAAGCCGGGTACCCCTCCCGGGGTCCTTGGCTTTGGGTTCTTGCAGGTAAGGTGGTCGTCCGAGTCCAGGGAGCCCGGGTTGACATCTTTGTCCCATCAGTGAGCTAGCTCTATTGTGTACAAATTGTTATTTTTACCGAGTATCGAATCGAATATTTCGTTCCCCGGGTCGATCTCACGAGGAAGGCGGTTCGGAATTTAGCTTTGGTATCGATAACACAAAAAGGAAAAATAAATCCTAAATACTCTAATCAGATAAAGATTGGATGGATTATCAACTAAGAAATAAAATAAAATGCATAAAATATAAATTTACCTAAAACATGAAATAAACCTCAATGAAGAAGCTAGGGAATCGGGGATATCCGTTATGGCTCAAAATATGATTATCGAGCAAGTGATCATTCAGTTAAGAGAATTTGATAAACAACTCGTTCAGAGATTGTCCTCAATAACTCTTCGTAACAAGAAGATTAATATGAACGGTAAATCAATAAATCCTTTTAAACACATTGGCAATACCATTACGAATAAGCCAATTTCATGTGGCCTAGGTCTATCGACTCCTTCTCTTTCGATTCCGAAAGTCGATTAAATAGCTTAATGGTTTTTAATCAATCGAGCAATAGATTCCATGAAATAATTCAAGAGCAAATCCAACCCAATCGATGAACAATTGTAAATTGAAGTGTCACTACTTCAATGATTTTCAAACTTCCAAAACAATTTCACAAAACCCTAGTCAAGATCAACCCACATGAATTGAATAATCAACAAGCACAATAATCACAATGGAGATCAAAACATTAATCCCCTATCCCTAGCATGAAGATTTAGCTGCTCATAATCAAATTTAAACAAACAATTTCAAAATTCCAAGCATTCATATTCAAAAATAATTGAAAATAAAAGCTTACGAATTAATAGAAATCAAGAGTCAAATCTGAATTACAAGGTTGCATCCAAATCCAATGCTAAACCCCAGCTCAAAATTGAGTTCTATGGTGAAAATTATGTAGAAGATGAGAAAAGAGGTCAAAAAGATGAAGAAAAAGGGGAAAAAACCCCAAAAATCCGACAAAACCAGAAAAAATGAGATGCTGGGTGTGTTTTAGGGCTGGAGGTCGCAGGTCGAGGTTCGCGGGTCGCAACCCACGGCTGCACTGCGCGTCTTCACGGTTTTGCTTCGTTTGAGCTTGTTCGAACTCGGAATTAAGTTCTATTTTCTCCTACGCGTAGCTAATGAACCCCTCTATCTAATGATGTAAACTTCCCCAAAAAATTCCAGAAACTTATTCTCCCGAAGCTCCCGACCTACAAACCAAAAACGAAAACACAAACGGAAGACTACCAGAAAAAACATAAAAATTACCGGGGCACTCAAGACAACACAAAACACACGATAAACGACATAATGAATTTAAAACCAACTAAATGACTCAAAATGGAGGAAAACGAATGAGAAAATAATAACAAAAAATGAAACAAAAATGGGACAAACAACTCCCCCACACTTAAACATTTGTTCGTTCCGAACAAAGAGAAAATAAAAGACGCTAAGATCAAGCATGGATAGCGATGAAAACAAGAAAGGTCTCAAACTACTCAATTAAATCGAAAAGCATTCAAACGGCCACAAACCACATGCTTCAACTACATACTCAGTTAAAACAATTTGAACGACAAATCTCTCGACAATGGAATATAGGGATGAGCCTCACTAAATTTCTTTCATGAATATAACGAGGTACGCTCCACTTGGTCGAAATTCAAGTTTCACTGAGCCTTGCCTATTGTCTAATTCCTACTATAGAATAATCAAAATTATGAACTAGCAGATCAAAAGGAGTTGACGGGCTGTAGTGTAGGCTCAAAGTAACAAGAGGAATCTAAAATTTTCAAACGACTACAATAAATAATCTGAAAGAGTCATGCCACTCAACATAATCAACATATAACTACTTTCTTAACCAAAAGTCTCCATACACCACACGCACAAGCTCAAATCATAATGCACTACACACATTTGATCATTTTTTTTTCTCTTTTTTTTTTTCTTTTCTTTTTTTTTTCTCTTTTTTATTTGGAGTTTGTTTTTCCAGACAAGGTCGAACTTTAAGGACAACGTTCTCTTGGTTTAGACTTTGTAGGTTATCCAAGTGTCCAAGAGTAGTTTTCATTACACATTACTCGTCCATTCGCATGAACAAGTAAGAGGAGTAGAATCCTCTTAGTTTGTCCTGCGAGCTCCATTTTATTTATTTATTTTTTTTTCGATCAAGTAGTATGCTACACTCCCCATTCAATCATAAAATAAATAACTCCGTCATACTTATGAATCGCATAACAGGCCGTCAACAACAAATCAATAGGATAAACAAGAAAATCACTCCAAGGCTCAAACGGCTACTAGCGGAGATATATATATCACAGACAAGAACAGGGTAAAACGA